GCACAGTTCCTCTTGGATGGATGTCCAAAAATCCACCAGTACATGGGCAGGCCATTTGTTCAGTTGTAAACCAGACAGTCCTCTTTTTGCGTGGTTTGTCCCCAGTCCACTATTAGTGTCGGGAGAAGAGGGTGTAGAGAGCGGTTGGGGCAGTCAGGGGACAGGGAGCAGGGAGACTTAGATAGGGGGTGGGGTCCTGGGGGCAGTCAGGGGACAGGTAGGGGATAGGGGGATTCTGAGGGGGGCGGGAAGTGGGAGGGGGCAGGGCTGGGGCGGGACTAGGGCGGCACCCCGTGTCCTCTTTTTTGATTGTTGAAATATGGTAACCCTACTTTTGTGGGGGTTTTGAGCACTCACAGTCCCCTTCATTGATAGCACTCAGCACCTCTCATGACTAGTTCTTATGGCACCAATATATAAAAGCACATAAGCACATGCTTCAGTGCTGTGAATTTAAGTATATGCTTAAAATTAAGTATATTTGAAAACAGTGGGATTGGCTAACGGAGAAATGGCTTTATTTAGGAAAAGGGATAAAGAATTATGTTGAAAGGCTAACTTTTCTTTGATTACCAGAAGTAGCAGGAGGATGTGGAAAACCTATATGAATCCATTTTATGGAGAGCCTAGGAATAGTCTTTAAACTATTGAAGTATACAGATTAATCAGTTATTTTATTGGCATGCTGTAGTCCCAGAGGTATGGATATAGTCAAATTAAATATGCATTTTAAAATATTAGAACTTAACTCTACTTATACACTGGTTTCATGTATTTCACCTTTCAGAAGGGTGAAATTTACTTTAATGATTTGGCCAAGTTTCCCAATACTTGATTCAGTATGCTATAGTTTAGAAGATTTCTACATAGCCTTTTCAGCCACCCTCTCTCATTACATGAAACATCTTACTATGCATATGTGTGAAAGAGAGAGAGAGAGAGCTTTAAACTGTTGGGTTTGGGGATTTTGTTGTTTTGGATGTGGGTTCTGTTTTGGTAGCTAAATTTCTGTTGTGGATGGATTTTTATGGGAAACATGATAAACTAGAAGAATTCCTGTATCTGTTATTTCTATTTGTATTTTCTCTCTATACTGGAGCCTATAGAAATGCCTACTATGACAGCAAACAGCACCATGTGTTACCAACAATATAATCTATATTGGTGTTCTCTCCTTGCTTGAGGTGTTGTAGATCAAAAGGTTGCTTCAAAATTATTCCATGCTGACATTTGTTCCAGAAATGTATTTTCACCTGCTGTGCTGTGACATTGCAACTTTAGCTGAAGTTCTTAATGTAAAGCTTCAGGTAGTGGAGTATTTAATAATCCGTTTGTCAACCTTTTCTTAGTAAAAGCCCTAATATTTGTGAGGACCTAATCATGCCTTCTAGTTGTATTCAGACACTTAATTCATGCATAGGTCAGCCTTTCAAATTCTGGGATAAGTAGCTTTGTTGATGAGTGAATAATTACTTGTTTTTGTTTCCACTTGGGCAGACAAAAACTGACAAATCACTGTTAGAAAATGGTCATGAAAATTGACCACAGAAACCACAAAATCTACTTGTTCCCCTTAACATGATTATGTTAATAAAAAAAGCTAATTATATAACATGCTAATAGCATATTTTTTGTTTTGAGAACTGTCTGGAGCCCTCACAAGCTTTGTATCACTTTCTTAATCTGCATCCCTTTTGAAAACTCTTGCCCATTCTCGCTAAAGCAAAAAGCTATGTCAGAAGCAGCTACTGTATGCACTTATTTTTAAAGGTACTGTTATATGATGCTAAATGCATGTCACCAAGTGTGCACAGGCGGAGGTCACCAGAGATGTTTGTTTTTAAGCTGGCAAACAGCTATCTAAACACAGCTTGTGAACTGTAGTTAAAACATTATTTTTTAAAAATCTTTGGATCTTTTGCTATTGTCTGTTCCCAGCATAATAGTATAGATTTTCACTTCAGTTTAGCCAAACAGGGACAAGACCTATGGTTTGGTAATCTATGACACAGCCTGACAGTAAATTCTAGTGAGTACTCTGCTTCCTTTCCTCACAATAATTCTTACATTTCTAAAGATGTTACTGTTAAAGCTTCAGAGAATTTAAGGATAGATTTTCAGACTCTCAGTTAGTTTATTTGGATATAAAAAGGACAGTTTTACTGGAAGAGGCAGTGTAATAAATGAAATGACAAGCCTCTATAAAACATTTTTATAAAGATAAAAGCACTTTTGTAGTCTTAGAAATTCTGTAGTTTATATAAAATAGTGAGAACAGTAGGTTCTATATCAAAAAATACAGAGAAAATAATGTCAGTAGGAAATATGCCAGGGAAGAAAATTAATGGAGTTTTGCTTAATGGAAACTAGGTAGAGAAAATAAACTTTTTGTTTTTGCAATCTTCTGGTTAGGTCTGAATGAAAGGTGGTAACAATGAAAGAACAGGAAGGAATTTGTTCTAGAAATCTGAGCTGAGAAAAAGAGAACAGTGAGAGGAACAGTTGTCTAATTAATCTGAATAAATTAGAACTAATGTTTCTGAATGTTGTGGAGACTTAATTAATGTTTGTAAAGCACTTTGAAATTCTTGGGTGTAAGGTATTATATGAATGCAAATCGTTGTTTATTATTGTACTACTTATTTATATTATTTTTTCTGTATTCAATAAGTGTTAATGAGATAATGTGTAAGGCTATAATCATTCATGGACAAAGTTAATATACATGGTGGGGGGTGGGGGGAGATTAGATAGTTTCCAGTATTTGTGAAATGTTTTAGGGACCAACTGCTACTTTTTCAAAATAAGCCCACTAATAGGGTGTGTTGTACAAAATTCCTCCCCAGCTATGGAAATCCAAAAGGTACATTTCAGTCTCTGGAGAAATAAAGGCATAAAGTATTTAGAACTTTAAAAATATGCATATAGTATTACTTCCTAGCCCTAGATATATTTGTATTGTAGGCCTTGGTGACGACTCTATAGTTATGACTGAGATGCGTTTTGCATTTCACTGTTTCTTGGCCCAGATTAGAGGAAATTTATTCTTAAAATGAGATTTTTTTCAAAGAGTGTTTGAATGTTTTAACTCTTTGTGGGTGAGAGAGGGTTATTTTACACATGAGTAAATGTGTTGAGCACTGAGTAATTTTATTTCCAAAATTACTAAAAATATAGTGTAGAGAAACAATTGTTTCTCTTACTACTAATTCAGGAATGAGACGAGACACCCCTGGCTATTTTAGTCATATAAGGTTCTTACCATTCCATAACTAAAAAAGACCGTCAAAATTACTCAAAGTTTTTATTAATGAATAATGTATGTAATACAGGAAGGAAAACAAAAAGAGAATTAAAAAAATGAATAATAAAGTGAAGACAACTACATACTAGATGGTAGAGCAACACTTCAGGGTGGAGCTGTTGGGCTAGGTGGGCACTGTCCACACATCATAATCTCTCATCACCTCTGTATGCTTGGATTATTTGTGCTCTTGGGTTGAGTCAGTGGGATGAGTCAGTGCTACCAGGCTGACCCATTCCCCAGCCCCCCTTTTCAGAATCATCTGACCTCTCTCCCCATCCAACCCATACAGCACTGTTCCCTTTCCCTGGGCCAGCCATAGAACATCCCCTCCTCCCCCACACACACACCTAAGGTGTAGTGAGGTCATTTACTTAATAGGAATGCAGCAAATCCTCTAATGGAGACAGTTTACTGTGCTCTCTGCATGATAAGTGCTGACAAATGTCAACCTAAAAAAATCTCCGTTTATATCCTTAAAATTTTGAATATCAAATTTATTTTCCCTGAACAAGTGTGTATTTGTTTACCTTGCAGATATAGATGTTTTTCTCTTCCCCTCCCCCCCTCTCTCTTTAGTGCAGCACAAGCCAATTGATTCTATTTATTTTAATGTCTTGTAATCCAACATTATCAATTAGGTCAACAAGAATCTACTCAGCTTTGAAAAATGTGTCTTTAACTGATGCATCATGGGGAGCAGAAGGGAACAAAATGTGATATATTTGGGTATCTGTCTCCAATGCACCCATTACTATGGTCTCCCTGGCTTTTCAAACAATATCTTAGAATGAGTAGTGTACTTGTACATCAGATCCTAAATATCAGTTATAATATTTCCCACCAAATTACCATGTTAAGGTCCAGGAACTAAAATTTTAGCTGCAAACTATTTACCTGATGATACATTTGAAAATAACATCACAATTGCTCTAGTTTAATTTGCAATAGGGATGTTTGTGAAGAACCAAGTAAAATGAACATTTTATAAAAATTGATAGATTTTATAGCATTGGAGGAAGACTTTTTTTTTAATTGT